CTTAATTCCTGTAATATACAATATGTAATAAGTTCTTAAGTTCTTAATTAATAAAATTACAGCATATAAGCAATTTACAAAAAAAAAAAAAAAAAAAAACCTTACAACATAAAGACTGGTTATCTATAATATATTTAGATCTTGATAAATACTCAGTAGCATTCCAAATATTAGTTATAACTCAATGGAATATTAATTACCAGAAATTAAAAAGACTAGAACTCGAAAGAATAATAGATGAAAATACTATTATAATCTGTGATTGAACAGCAGTAAAAACACAAGTTTTTACTAAAAGAAATGTAAAAGAGGATGAAGTAGTAACAGCACTCGGAAAACTGCTTAAACAAACTGAAACACAAATATTTAAAGATTCATACTATCAACTATACATCAAATGTGAAAAAGAAGAAATGATTCGAAGATAGGCTAAAAGAGATCGACAAGAAGAAAGAGATATAGATAAACAATATCTATATAATATATACAATATGTATAAAGAAATAATAGGAAAAATATATCTAAGATATATTAAAATACCAACAAACATATTGAATCCAGAAAATATGTTTAGATTATTATTTATACACGAAGCAAAAGGGTTAAATAAACCAAAAGAATTGACTTTCCTTAAAGAAATACAGACTGATATTAAAAAATCAACAAAATGACTATATACAATTGTAACAATCTTCCGAGAAGGAGAATTAGTAACACAACCAATCCAAATCCTAGTAGCCAAATGGTCAAGAAATACTAAAATATACCCTGAGCAATACTTAGGATTTGGAGAACATTTAGAAGAATATGATAAAACATATTAGAACTGTATAATTAGAGAAACACAAGAAGAAATAGGATTCCAACTATAACCAGGAAGACTACAGTTCATATGAACACATGATTATTTATCTAAAAACAGATCAAAAACAGATCCTATTATTAATACCAATAGAAATGAATCTTTTGAACCAATATATTATATAAAAATAGCAATGTATTTATATTTAAATTACTACACGAATAGGATAACATCAAATACAAAGAATCTGAAAACATGAGTAAACCTCAATGAATGACAAGAAACCAAATAGACTATCAAATATGGACACCATCTATTCAATATTATAAAGACCAAATATTTGACAAATATATACCACAATATCTTGAAGAATGGACCAATTATAGAAAGATCACTAACAATTTATTCCAACAACAATTTCCAGATAAAAAAATTCCAAATGAATACAAAACACCATATGACAGTGACAAACAAGAAATTATAGCAGAAAAGCCTAATTACCTGTGAACGCTTTATTACAATTTACCACCAAGAGCTCTAGCACAGTATCCGGTATACCTGGTATCCCAACCGGCACCGATTCTGATCACGCCTATTACACATAATGCTTGTCACACTTAAGAGAATGCACCAAAATCAGCAAATCTTAGAATTACCAAAATCAGTAACCCAATTATCAAAACAATATTCTTATTATTAATCTCATATTATTAACCTTTGCTTATAAATATCCTTTACAAATCATTAGCTTATTAATCATATTAGTCATATATTAGTCATAGCTTACAAATAGCTAGTCATATTAGTAATTTAGCTTACAAATCTTTATAGCATAGTCTTCTTGAATATATTTAAACAATAGCTTTTGACTTTTTAACTTTAGCAATTTTAGATTTAGCTCAGCAGGTTTATATCTTGCAAAAGACTCTAGCAGGTTTAAACCCCCCTCAAAAAGCCCTCTAGATAGCTCTAACATTCTTACAACTATAAAGGAAATAATTAAAATGCCCAATGTATTCTAGCCTAGCAACTTCTAATACTAAGTTGGATATGTGCCCAACACGATGAGTGAATTATAGCTTAAAATTCCTCACAATTAAAAAGAAATAATCTAATGTAGAAATAGTAGTTTACCCCTTCTACTATAATCATATACAAGCTCTTAAAAACAGACAACGTTCAACACTTAAACCAAAAGTAATAGAAAGGAAATAAGAGACATTTAATCTAAAATGTACTCAGTAGAGTTCCAATCCGGATAGCGTTTATCCGAATAATTATCGGATATCCAGATAAAGTTCGGTTTGGATACTTGGATAACAGTTAGCGGATATCTGTTTACTATTGATATCCGAATAATTATCCAAATATCAGTCGGATTATCCGGATATCAGGTCTGTTTATCTGATCCGAATTATCCGGATAATTCAGATACGGATAAATGGATGACGGATTTATCCAGATTGGACCTCTAGTACTCAAGAACTCTCAAATCTGAACCATTAATTTGGAACTCAGATACAAGTAACCAAACACACAAAGACATTGAAAAGAGCAATGTACCCAACAACAAAACTAATTTACCAAGAGCCAAAATAAGCTCATGAAGGATCGTACTAAGGAAAGAAAAAACATGATGCTCCCAACTAAAAAAAGAAACAAACAAAGAAAAAACCTTTGATAATACCCAACAAGAGTGTTCTATAAACACTCAAAAGAATAAATGCCTAAACACTTATAAAAAATGGCAGGAAGAATTAATAATCAAAAAATCCTGCAATGATATCCAAAAAAAAAAATAAAAAAAAATAATAATAATACAAGAGGAGGGTGGGATTACTAATTAAACAATAAGTGCCCAACATACAATGGTTACCAAAATCAACTCATAACTAATAATTGATATAATAGCGATCTGACAAACCTCATATGCCCAAAGGCATCCAATAAGACTACAAAAGTCCAGACATGGCATTGAATAATATTAAAGAACAATAATATTATTGTTGCCTCTTCACAATCAACATTGAAAAATAGGTGCTCACACATATATTATACCCATACACCTTCATATAAAACAATACCAAAGGCGTACAATAGAAATATATATTATACTTACATAATATAAAAAGGACGACATAAAAACAAAAGATATTTGAGAACAGAACTAAAAGAGCTAAAAGAATATTAACAAATATAATTAGTATAGTACTTCACTAAATAAATTTAATAAAAACCAATTTATTAAATACAAATCTTGTGCAAGTAAAATAGTATAATTCTATAATTCTTCTACATAAACAATAAATAACTTGACACCAAAGTAATAAAAGCTTAGATAGCTTAATATCCAAGTAGGAGCATAGTAATAACCAAGTAGTACCTCAGAGGACTTATCTACCTTAGTGATAAAAAATTAAACCTATTTCACAGAAGAGAGCACAGCCTAGCCTATCGTGAAAAGAAATTAGTAGCACAAAAAGTGCTCACCATTAAAAACCACATCTATACTAACAAAATTACAGTATAAAAGATATACAGAAAAGAAATAAACTATACAACTATTCAAAACAACTTACCAAGCAAACATATTGCAAAATGAATAGAGCTTAAACAACTCTTAAGCAAGTACAATTGAAGGAAAGCTTACTCTAATTTGGAAGAATAACTATAATAATTAACCTAATCTGACATCGATGACTAGTAAGACTGAAAAGGCTAACATGAAACTTTATTATTAAAAATTACAGAATGATCATCTGACAAGTCAACTATATCGAAATTACAAGAAATTAGTAATTCAACAATATGAATGCAAAACCTATTATTACAAAGCAAAATTTGCTTAATAATCTTTATATTAGTAATTTGCTTATAAACCAGAATTTCCAAAACTAACATAATAAACGTAACAGTTTGTAAAAAACTCTTTTTAAGTAATTTTCAGATTTAAAATTTTTTTATATTATAATATTTTCTATATTTACAACTCAATGTGTAGATAATATATAAATTTAGAAAATATGCAATAATACTTCTAATGAATAATACAGAAAATCTTGTTGCAATGTGCATTAATAGTTCTATAAATAGTTAAGTATTGAATAATGATTTTTATAACATGTAAACCTTATTGAGATATATTTCCATATTTGCACTAACAAGATAAACCACTAAAAATATAATACTAATTGTATTAAAATAAGTGCTGCCAGAAGAAACCTCATAATTCTTATTACATGATGAATTACAGGTTCTCTCTTGGAAGTACTTAAATAATAACCACCTAGAAAATAATAATTAATGTGGATTCTATATTTAAAAAATTGATATTTTAATTAAAATATCAAATTCTCTTTATTTGGATAAACTTACCGAATTCTTTTTGTTTGATAAATTCACTGAATTTCTTTTGTCTGGATAATTCGTCAAATTTCTTTTGTTTGGATAAATTCATCGAATTTCTTTTGTCTAGATAAATTTGTTGAATTCTCTTTGTCTAGTTAAACTTGTTAAATCTTTCATGCTTTATCTTAATAGTATCATTAACAAAGAAAAAAAATTTTAAATAATTAATATGTATAATTGCTTTGAAAAAAGGTTCTATATAAATAGTACTAACTTTTCCTTGATGTGAATATTTTCATCTTGTCAAATGCTATCTAGATGCCTAGTAAAAACAATTCTAAAAAACAAAAAGCCAAATATGACTCTAATAAAAAAGCCAGTGAACTTGCTAAATACAATAAACAAAATGATTATTTTTTTGATAAAACAATTCACGTTTCTCTTCCCATCAAAGTAGATAAAACTGGTAGATTTTATGTATTTATAGAAATGACTCCCATTCCAGGTAAAATAAATAGAAGAAAATGAAATAAATATGTTAAATAGCATTTAAAAAATGTCAAGAGCACCTTTAACACAACCTATAATTTAAATGAACCTGATAAAAAAATCTGCTCTTTATATAGCACTCTCAATCATAATAAAATAAGACTGACCAAGATTTTATCTAGTCATTTAGTTGCTTTAAATAAATCTAAAAAGCATGAAATATATGTTAATGCAGAGTATAATTTTTTAGTAGAACAATACAATAGCACTTTACTCGATCTATACCACCATCCAGGGATCATGTGGTTCTTCAGAACCACATCAGGCTTTGGTAAAAATGCTAAAATAGGAAAAGTTATGTTTGATTGTGTTATTGAGTATAAGGAAATATTTCTTGGTGCAAACACACCACTAGATAATGAAACAGATAATGAATATGAGTATTTTGGAAATAGAGAGGTGGTGTTAGACAATTATGAACAAGACCTAACACCTGATATAGTAATAATAGATTAGAATGGGGAGGTGGTAGTTGAAAAAAATAATAGTTTAACATAGCTGAAATAAATTTATATAAATTCAGCAATTTTCCCAATGTATAGATATACCGATATGTAATTTCCATCCTTCTACAAAATAGAGTTTAATAAATTAAATTATCATTTGGCAATATTTCTTAAAATAAATAATATCTTTGAAAATTACCCAAATTTTTATGTAGTATAATCGTCTAATAAAATCTTTATTAGCAGCTCAAAACTTGAAGTTGCAAAGATTGCATCGCTATTGTTATCTACTTGTACTACTTGTACAACTTAATCTATCATATGACTAAATTTGGTACCCATGAAGAAAATTTGATACCCATGAAAAAAAGGTATTTTTCTAGTAAAACAAAAATTCCAGCGTTATTACTATGTGAAGACACCTTTCATTAAACATTTTTTGCTTATAGGGTTAAGCAATGTTAAATATTACGCGAGGAATTAAAAGATATTTCTTATAGTCTTTACTATTAAAAATCGATCGGAAAATTTTTTACTATAAAAAATCTTGATTAGTGATCATCACTATATCATATGCACTATGTTTGTAATTAGACCGATGTTGTACTCCCTAATAATACGTAGTACAGTTCATACATGTGAAAATTATCGTGAATAATTTATAATGATAATTTTTTAAAACGTTAATACATATAGCACTATTAACATAAATGATTAATTAATAAAAGTCGTAACGTTCTTTCTGTAACTTTTAAAAGATTTCGATTAGCCAATTTCAGGTTCTGAAATCTATTCGTCCATTGATCTTTTTTTTTAGGTCGGTCGATTTTCGCCCACATTTTAAACCCTAAAAAAGAACGGCCTATGAGTCGAATATTGTAATTTACACAGATCAGTATGGCGTGACGATCATATTCGTACAGTACCATACTGATCCGGTGTTATATATTACTGTATTAGACTTAGAGACTATCGTTATATTATATATATATATATATATATATTTATTGTATGGTAGTATTTTACACTCTTTACCATACTATTTTAGTCATCCGTATTATCGTTATCCCGTTTTTGATTATCCCATATCTTTTAGGTCTAGAGATCAACATAGCTCAGTCCAGATTTTAAAAATCCTATCTTAAAATATTATCAGAATGCAACCTTTTGATTTAGCAAAGAATTTTCTTGCAGGTCTTAATCTTGATCTACTTGCCTGTCGATTTAAATGATGCTATAACAAAATTTGTGAAAACTTAGTTTTCGGATAGAATATTTTTGGAAAATTTTAATTATAAGTATGATACAATATATTTATGGCATTCATACAGTATAACCTCGATATAACGAAGCTCTGTAGCTGGAGGTTTTCTTCGTTATATCAAAACTTTATTAATAGTTTCGTTATATCAGGGATAATTTAAACATAAAAATTAGAAATAATCTTCGTTATCGTTATATCGAGGTTCGTTATATCGAGGTTATACTGTATTATCAATAAAAAATTAAATAAAAAAAATTAAACAAATTATTAAATTTGTTGTTTCTGATTGACAAACCATTCTAAATGAGAGGAAAAAAATGATACTTCGTGCTTTCAGTTTTATAATGTATTATTAACTGGATTTGCCCTTTAAAAAATCTTTATAATAGCATCTATGACATGTAATCACAGATTTTCACGTGAATTTGATAAATAATAAATGATAAACATGAAATTAATTCGGGCTTTCAGTAATTTATTATTAACCGGATTCGCCCTTTAAAATCTTGACAGTAACATGTAATCACAGATTTTTCACAAACTTAATTTAATAAATAATAAATAATAAATGATAAGCACAAAAGTCCGAAATTTCATTTTCTTTTAGTAGTTCTCAAGTGATTTCGAAACATTTTGGTTTTTTTTTATCTAGTGTGTTACTTTTTTCATTCATTTTGTTTTGTTTTCCAATTAGTAATCTTATGTCATGCTACTTTACACATTTATCGTTCATTCATCATTTATCTATCAATACCGTTGTTAGTTATTCTTACAAATATGATCTTAATTTGCCCTTCGGAAAAACCATGCGATTTATGGTTGCGCGACCAAAATTTAACAAATCGATCAAAGTTTTGAATCGGAATGCATCAGCATTAGGCCAAAAATAAGCAATAATAACAACTAACTATTTGATTACTGGATTAAGCAAAATTTATCAATCCATCCCGAAATTTTAGTTACGTGACTTAGTAATAGTTATATCCTGGGCAGTTGGGTATAAGCGGGACTTTCAGCCCCGCTTATACACATAGTGCCCAGGGTATAAC